GAGCCCTATTTTGGTCGTTAAAACCGCTAGCGACAAAACAAAAAAGATCAATAAAGATCGATTGCAAGAAAGTTCTCAATGACCAAAAAAGTTATGTGGTCTGGTCGCTAGAAAGTCAACTCTTGCAAGCGATCATAGCTTGGTCACTTCTAAGGGCACGAATGATAGCCATTCTATTTCTTTGTTTTTATATTTTTTTGTTCCTAGGAACGTGTTTGAAACAGAAATCCGTTTGGTAATGCAATTTCAATTTTCTATTTCTGGAACAAATTTTTACTCCAAAAATAGGTTTGGAATATAAATTAGAAGTAAAATAAATCTACTTTTCTATTTTTGGAACAAAAATGAGAAATAAAAACTCTTCTCATCACTCACCCTCGTTACTAGCCAACTGCCCACCCACCGCCCGCCATCGCTGCCAATCACCTCCTGCTGCCGCCGGTCGCCTCCCACCACCATCATTTGTTGCTGTTTGTCGCCGTCCTCCACCGTTGGCCACGTCCCATTGGCTCCCAACACCGTCCGCCACCGCCCGCTGGTGGCCATCCATCGTCGCCTACCATATGCCGTCCTTCGCCACCACCTGACGCCGTCCGCCTCCCACCATTGGCCGCTGCTGTCCATTGCCGTTCACCATTGCCTGCCGGCCACCTTCTGCCATCTTCTGCCAGTCGCCTCCTCCCATCCTCCGTCGTCGCTCGACACCGGCCGCCGTCAGCCATTGTCGATCGCCTCCCGTCGTCGACCGCTGCCCACTGGCCAACTCCCACCACCGTCCTTTGAAGTCGGCCGCTGTTGCGCAACGCCGGCCACCTCCCATCATTGGTTGCCGCTCGCCGGCTGCCTCCTGCTACCGTCCTCCGCCGGCCGCCTCCTACCACCGTCCTTTTGCCGCCGCCCATCGTCATCCGCCACCACCCGACACCGACCCACTCCCGCTACCATCCTCCTCCGCCGGTCGCCGTTTGTAGTCCTTCACCGTCGCGCAACGCCGGCAACCTCCCACCATTGGCCACCACCCTCCTACCACCGTCCTCCACCGCCGCCCATCGTTGTCTGTCGCCAGCCGGCGCTGGCCACCTCCCGCCACCATCGGCCGCCACCCGCCGGCCGCTGGGGAGGAAGAAATTTTGTGTCGTTATCAAACAAATTTCTATTTCAAGAATAGAAATTTTGTGTCATTATCAAACAGGTATTTTGGCAAAGAAACTCGTCCATGGAATAGAAATAAAAAAATTAATTTCTGGCAAGAAATTGATTTTTGGAACAGAATGGTTATCATTCGCGCCCTTAGTACTTCATCTTTAAGGGTAAAGATGTTTTTAGCAATCATAAGTTAGGATTTGGTCGCCATCATATGATTTCTAGCGGCCAAATTTTGCAAATTTGATCGCAATAAGGTGATTTTTGGCAACTAACTTTGGATTTGGTCACCATAATTTTAGAGACCAAACCAGATTTGGTCACCAAACATCATCTCTAGTGACCATATCTCTTTATTTGGCTGCCAGAGGTAAACTTCTAGCGACCAGATTGTAGTTTGGTTGCCAGAAATCACCGAGACATGGATCTAGGATGATTTCTTGCGACCGAATCCGTCAATTGTGGTTGCTAGAAGTTATTTCAGGCGATCTTCTGCCCGGTTTACTGATTTTCCAACTAGTAATACATGTTCTCCAACTCGTAACATTTCAATTTAGTAATTCAAATTTTACTTTAACAGTACGCAACAACATGAATTCAACACTTATAAACATAACGATAAAGCATAAAAAAACTAGTTCTTCAAACATCGATTCATCATCTAACATCAATCTAACATTGCAAAGAGAATTGGACGATGAAATTCCTGCAAAGTTGACATCTCAATACGTCATTCTCCATATGCCAAAAAGAAACAAAATTGACTTCCGTCCTTAATCCTCCACCAAGTGCTATCATGCATCATTTCCCTGTGAGCATCATGAAGAGAAAAATGGAAGGGAAAGCCTTTTTCATATATTGATTCTGTACAATTACATTGATGTATTTATAGTCTAAGAATGTAAGTAAATAGAGAAATAATATACAGAGAATTATGAATTTCCTATTCACTGTATCAATCACGGATTTATCTAATCAATCAGTCCTTAATTAGAATCGGCACCACAATCAGGATCTTCAAATATATCTTCCAATAATAACTCTAATACTCCCCCTCAAGTTGGTGAGTGCATGAACGTCAACAACTTGCGCTTGAAAGAAAGAAAAAGAGCACGAGAAATGGCTTTTGTGAATAGATCCGCAAGCTGTGAATGGCTAGGAATATGAGGAGGTCGAAGTGTGCCATCCTGAAGATTTTCACGAATGAGATGGCAATCAATCTCAATGTGTTTGGTACGCTCGTGGAAAACTGGATTAGTATCACTATGGATAGCCGCTTGGTTGTCACAAAAAAGGTCGGCAGTGGACAACGGGACGGCAAGATCGGTGAGAAGCATGCGAAGCCATGTAATCTCACAAGCTGCAGATGCCATGGCTTTGTATTCAACCTTGGCTGAAGACCGAGCAACAGTGTGCTGTTTCTTAGAACACCAAGAAACAGGGCAAGAGCCAAGGAGCATACAGTAATCACAAACTGAACGACATGTGGATAAACATGCAGCCCAATCAGAATTTGTATATCCTTGTAATGCAAGGGATGAGTCAGTCAGAAAAAATATTCCAGAACCCGGATCAAATTTCAAATACAGGACTATCCGAAGTGCAGCTTGCCAATGATCATCATGTGGAGCATGCATAAACTGGCTGAGATGCTAAACAGAAAACAGAATATCCAGGCGAGTAGCAGTGAGGTACAAAAGATGTCCAATCAAGCGACGATAAGAAGCTAGATCGGCTAGCTCGGGGGACTCACCAAACCGAAGGTTCGATTCCATGGGTGTGTCAACAAGACGCCCGCCAAGAAGACCAGTATCAGAAATAATGTCAAGGGCGTATTTCCTTTGAGAGAGATAAATGCCCTTGTTTGATCGAAAAACTTCTATGCCGAGGAAATATTTAAGAGGACCTAAGTCTTTGATGCGAAAATGAGCATGTAAAAAATGCTTGAGCAAATGTATGCATACCTGATCATCCCCTGTGATCACCAAATCATCAACATAAACTAGAACCACGGTAATAAGGGAACCGCGTGTAGCCATGAATAAAGAGTAATCCGCCTTAGACTGAGTGAAACCAACATCAAGTAAAGCGGATGAAAACTTGGCAAATCATTGGCGGGAGGCTTGTTTAAGTCCATAAAGAGATTTTTTAAATGACAAACCAAGTTCTCCCCCTTAGTGTGAAGTCCTGGAGGTAGAGTCATGTAGACCTCTTCATCAAGGTCACCATGGAGAAATGCATTGTTAACATCAAGCTGATGTAAAGGCCAGCGACGAATAGTGGCTACAACAATGAGAGTTCTTGCTGTGACCATTTTAGCAACGGGGGCAAATGTGTCATGATAGTCGATCCCTTCGGCTTGAGTATAATCCTTTGCAACCAAATGAGCTTTATGTCGCTCAATGGTCCCATCAGATTTATACTTGATCTTGTAAACCCATTTGCAACCAATCGCCTTTTTACCGCGTGGAAGAGGTACAATATCCCACATGTGGTTTTGTTCAAGAGCCTGTAATTCCAAAGACATTGCCTCCCTCCATTTGGGAGATTGACATGCAGAGTCATAGGTGATGGGTTCCTGCTCAGTACTAATAGAAGCCAAAAAAGCACGAGAAGATGGAGAGAATTTGGAGTATGATAAATAGTTGGAAAGGGGATAGCGCATACCTATAGCAGGATTCTCAAGTGCTGAAGACAATTGGTCGGAAGCGACAATGGCGCAGTGGTAATCATGGAGATAGGTGGGTTTGCGGCGAGTGCGGGATGGGCGTTGGGGCGGCGGTGCCGGGCTGCTCAAAGAGTTGGGAATTTCGTCGTTCGGTTCGGCCATGGGTGTATGAAGGGATGGAACGGGCAAAGGGTGGTCAGGAATGTCAAGTGGGATAACAATGTTGGGTTGAGGTGATGTAGTTTCCTATGTGGCACGAAATGGAAAAATATTTTCATAAAAAATGACGTCACGGTTGGTGAAAATTGTATGGTCGCGAAGGTCAAAGAGGCGATAGCCTTTATGGTTAGCCGAGTATCCAATGAAGACACAACGACGAGAGCGAGGACCGAATTTGTCGTAATGAAGGTGTCCAGAAGAAGCGTAACAAAGAGAACCAAAGATTCGAATGTGGTCATAAGTGGGTGGTGTTTTGTGAAGAATTTCATATGGACTTTTATTTTGAAGTAAATGTGTGGGTAGACAATTGATTAGTTGTGTTGCGGTGAGAACGCAATCACCCCAAAAAGAAAGTGGAATTCCCGAATGAAATCGGAGAGCACGAGCCACATTGAGCAAGTGGCGATGTTTGAGCTCAACAACTCCATTTTGTTGTGGAGTATGAGGGCAACTACGCTGGTGGCGGATGCCTTGTGAGTGAAAAAAAGATTGCAATTTGGAAGATAGAAATTCGGATCCGTTATCAGATTGAATGGTTTTGATTGCTATTTGATGATGTGTTTTAACAAAGGTATGAAATTTAATAAGTGCATCAATAGCATCAGACTTAAAAGTGAGAAGAAATACCCATGTATAACGAGAAAAATCATCCACAATAGTAAAAAAATAGCGACATGTCTTATGAGTAAACTGAGAGTAAGGTCCCCAAATGTCAACATGAATAATATCAAAAGGTTGCATACTAGAAATAGAACTAGAATGAAAACTTAAACGAGTTTGTTTGGACAAGTGACAAGTATCACATGGTCCAGACTCTTTATTTGAACCAAAACTAAGAGAATCTTGTAAGGTACGGAGGACTGACTCAGACGGGTGGCCAAGACGGGCATGCCATAAACTGTGAATAAACGAATGGGCGGATAAAGCGGCGCGTTCGGGAGGGAGCTCCAAGTAGTAGAGACCACCACGTTCAAGGCCCCGACCAATGATCTTCTTCATCGAGAGGTCCTGAAACAAGCAATAAGAGGGAAAAAAAATAACCGAGCAATTTAAGTGTTGTGCAATTTTGGAAATGGATAGGAGATTAAATTTAAAGGTTGGAGCAGAAAGAACATCAGTAAGGGTGAGGGTCGGCGTAAAAGATACTGAGCCGTGTGAAGTGACGGGAACTCCGACCCCATTAGGTCTGCCAACAGTGGGAAAATGTTTTGGGTATGCTTGTGCATATTGAATTGATTCAAGATTATGTGTAATGTGATTCGTGACTCCGGTGTCAATAACCCAAGTGGAAGAATTTAACGAATTAGAATTCAAGTCAAGAATAGTACCTGTGAGATTTGCCTTGGGATTGTTTACCTCTTGGAGTAATCGCATGATTTGTTTATATTGTTCACTGGTGAATGGTGGTGGAGGTGCGGAAGAGGAGCTCTCGGGATTGGTGACAGGCTTGTTGTCGGAGGGCTTGGTAGGGGGCCGGTCACGACGTCGTTCCTTATAATTAGCGGGAAATCCATGGAGGCGGAAGCAAACATCACGGGAATGGCCTGGTATATCGCAATGGGCACAACGTTCACGGGCACGTGATGGAGGGTCGCGTTTTGCAAGGTGAGCAGAAGCTATCTCAGTGTGCTTATGGGACGGAGCCGAGAGTGACAAATCCGTTTGAGGTGGGATATTTCGCATTGAACCATATGTTAATAGTGTGTTCTCGGTAGAGGAACGAGTCGAGTGAACATGGCGTTGAGATTCGTCTTGAAGAGTAAGTGAGTAGGCCCTCGCAATAGTGGGTAATGGATTCATGAGCAGAACTTGACTGACCACATTTGAATACTTTGGGTTTAAACCCATTAAGAATTGATAAAGACGTCGATTCTCAAGTTGCGTCACAAACAATGTCCTTGCCTCACAAGAGCAATTCGGCAAGGGTTCCAAATTGTTCAACTCATCCCAATAATGCTGCAAATTGTTGTAATACCTAGTGATGTCGTCTTCACCTTGTTCAAGAGTGCATATTTTCTGCTCGAGGTGAAATATGCGAGGACCATTAGATGGTGAAAAACGTTCACGAAGATCAGTCCATACTTCCGCAACAGATTCCATGTACAACACCGTTGGGACACGATCTTGGTGGATGGAATTTAGGATCCATGATAGTATCATGTTGTTGACGTGAACCCATGGGGCATATGTGGCGTCGGTTGATTGGGGTTTCGGGATATCTCCCGTGACGAAACCCATTTTGTTCTTTGCGGATAAAGCAATGGTCATGGCTCATGACCAGCTGTTATAATTATCACCTGTCAAAACCATGCTGACTAAATTTGAACCTGGACTATCCGAGGCATGGAGGAAGAACGGATTGCTGGTCTGTTCATGATCTGATGTGTGGCTGGAGAGTTCCTCAGTTTGGGAGTTTTGTTCGGACATCATAATCAATCCAAAAAAGACGGTGCCCAGAAAAATCAATCGAAGCAAACCGAATGAAAGATGATTGATCTGAAGGAGAAATGGATGGATGGCTGGTGGCAGCCGACAAAAAAAAGAAGGGCTCAATGATCACCTTGCTCTGATACCATGAAGAGAAAAATGGAAGGGAAAGCCTTTTTCATATATTGATTCTGTACAATTACATTGATGTATTTATAGTCTAAGAATGTAAGTAAGTAGAGAAATAATATACAGAGAATTATGAATGTCCTATTCACTGTATCAATCACGGATTTATCTAATCAATCAGTTCTTAATTAGAATCGGCACCACAATCAGGATCTTCAAATATATCTTTCAATAATAACTCTAATACATCAAAAGATGTTTTAAGTTTCGTAAAATAAATACACATCAAAATCAAATTATCAATAATGAAAAATCGATATGAACATAGCTCCTAAAGTTGATTTTATAAACTTAACAAAACATCTTAAGTTGAAATTTTCGTTCCATTTTCAGCAAAGTAACCAAAAAAACCTACAATGTGAGATGAAAGTTCCACGAAAAAAATGATAAAATCCTTCCCAAATCGAAACCATAGGCATGTTGTTATGGTCAACCATATCCAGCTCCAAGATATAAATTATAGTACTAACAAAATCCCATGGCTTCAAGTAAATTTACAAAGTAATGGGCTGCACCTGAATCAACCATGGCTCCCGCAATTTTGCTATTGATTGGCAACTCCGCATACATCACACCTCGCTATCAGCAGCAGTCCCTTTCGCCCTTCCATTAGTGATGGCTCGGCGCTTGACAACATGAAGCAAGCGCAAGACAACCCATCCTCGCGCCATTTTTCCCATGCTCGCTTTCACCGTCTGAATTGGCACGACGGCTCAGAGATCTCTTCTGCATGTCGTTCCCTGCAGGTTTCGGGCATTCCACAACTACGTTCATTGCACATGAATCAAGCTAGTGGTTGCCTGCCTCTGTTCACCGGGGTCTTGCCGTTCTCCTGGTACTGATTCTTTGGTGTGAATCTCTGATGGGGCTCCCGCATGCTTGGGTTTGCTCGGCTTGAATGACTTTCCCCCACTCAAGTTGGGGACACTTGATTTCTTATGCTCTTTCTCAATGGATTGCATTAAAGGCAATTCTCCCGTTTGCTGCCTGGAACTGAGTTCTAGCCCATCGCTTCAGGCCTTCCAGGAAGTAAATCAGACATTCTGGCTCGGACATATCTTGAATGTCCAGTATCTGTGCTAAAAACACACGCACATGTTTTCAGATGTTGTCACCGTGTTTCATCTCAGGCAACGCCCTCTATAAAGAACTAATGCCTCAGTTGTTACTTCAATTCATCCCATGTATTGACTTGTGTGTGGCCCTATTGGATCTTGTCATGCTTGATCCAATACCATAGCTTCGCATCATCGGAGAGATGCATGGAGGCCTTTGCTACCTCCTGTGCCCCAGTCTGGAAGCACCACCGTGAAGTATTGCTCCGTGTCGACTAGAAAGTTCTCAAGCTGCTTAGCATCTCGTGCACTAGATAAGCCCTTGGTTCTGGCACCTTCATGCAACCCACGGGAAAGTTGAGTGCATTACCTTGGCTCGCGTTTGCACGGCCACTTGCCCAATGAGATTCATCATCTCCTCGTCCAGTACACACAGTCTCTTGTGCGTCGTCCTTGATAATACCCATTCGATCGTTCACAGCATGATGCGATTCCACAACAATCCGCTCAGGGGAGTTCGAGCAGTTGAACTCCCCTAAAGAGCTTTACAAGCACCACCTGTTATAGCATGAGGAGATATTACAAGTGCTAGAGACGGCACCGTCGAAAAATTACAAAAAGGAAGAAAAATATGAAAATTCTAAGTACACCAATGGTACATAGATGCGTGCTTGACCCAATGGCAGTGGACTTAGCGCCCTGGACAATTGAATTGAGGCACACACAAGGACTTGTGACACCTTTTCCTCTTTCGTCTACACTTGAATATTTCTAACTGTAATAGCAAGTTGCAATCACTCAGTTATGACGTTCAGTTATGTCTTTCAAAGGACAGTCATGAAACATGAGCACTTTGCTCTATTTCACTCATACCGCATCATTCTTAAGGAAGTTATAGGCCCTTGGATGTGTTCTGCTGCTCGTATAATTATCCTTGGATGTGGTTGTGATATAACATTCTAATAGTCACTCTATATGAGATTTGGGATAACTATAACATCCATTAGCATAAGTTTGCATGAAACAAATGGGACGAAGATTCTTTGCTCCTTTGGTGCCTTTATGGAGTCTCAATAAATCTCTACCGTTGATATATTCAATCATTAATTTCTCAACTACCCTTTTTCACGTGTTTATAGTTTTCCTGCATCGCTATTCACATGTTTATAGTTATCCCACATCGCTTGCCTCCTGGATTGATATTATTTTTTTTTTGCTAAATCCAGGATTGATTTTAATGTTATACATATGCGGTCTCTCTTCATTTATAATTAATATTTTAAGAGTAAATGTTTCCGCATATAAAGTGAACTTGGTACTAGAGCCAATTTTTGCCCAAGATTTAGATATAGGGCCTCATGTACATGGAGTTTCCTTCTACTTAATAAATTTAAATTTTTAGGTTGAATATTCTAACATAGTATTAGAGTTAGGTTCCTACATCCTTCACACCCCAAGTTTGCTTTTGCATATGCTCGACTTCCTATTCTTTTCAAGTCCACATGCCTTCTTCCATACGATTTCAATATGCTTTGTATTTGTTAAAGTATTATCCCAAATCACTTTACTACAATATTTTAATGGGCCTTATATAATTGTAATCTCTCTCCACATAATAACTTAAAGCATTTGGGCCGGTCTGTCTAACTTAATTTTAGAAACCGGATTTGTCCTAAGTTTTTGTACAGGCCTTAAAATTAATCACAATAAGTAATTGCTAGAGCCAACGATTACTCATGTACTAAATTGAATTACCACAGCCAAGGATACAGAATCGGCAGAATCCACGGGGAAGGAAAGGACCCCTGGAGTCCGACTCTTGTGCAACTGTGAAATGACTAGGGTGATGTCGGAAGTGGGAGTAGGAAACGGGAATGTAAATACCATTACCTTTTTATCTATATCAACAAGGACTAAGAATTTGGAGGCATGGAATAGGGAACGTTGGAGAGAGGGATGAAGATCGATGATATCTTCCCGTTCAAACGCTTGTTCGTGCATCTATTCAAAAGGAAAAAAAAAAAACAAAAAGAAACCTTCCTGACCTTAGCTGCTTCAGCTGATCACTGTCAAAACATACGGAAGCTATGACTGTGCAAGAGTTCATATTAACCGAAGTTTAGGAAAAATATCATAAACGTTCTAAATTTATTGAATTGATGTTAATTTTGTCCTAAACCTTTTTTTTAGTGCCAATTTAGTCATAAAATTTTTGACAAAATATCAATTCAGTCCTTTTGACTAATTTTGAATGAATATTGTTGATGTGGAGTTGGTCGGCCTACGTGGCACTGTCGGCCCTGGCCTGGGCAAGAGTCGGCCTTGTCAGCATTGGCGATGCCACGTAGGTCAGCCAACTCCACGTCAGCAATATTCGGCCAAGATTAGCCGGAAGGACTGAATTGACATTATTTCAAAAGAATTAGGACTAAATTGACATCAGAATAATAGATTTAGGACTATTCGGACTTTTCCCACCAAAGTTTGGTTGAGCTAAAAAAGCACGTTTATCGAAATATCCCTTCACTGGGAAAAGGACAGTCTTTTTCTAGTCGGTAACATTAATAAAGGCACGAATATTTCGAGGAAGAATTTCTTTTAACTTACTCGACTGTTGGAAGACCTTGGTATCATTTAAGATGTTGAGGCATTTAAACATATAAGGATCCTATCCGATTCAGTTGCTTCAAGTCATTAAAGCATTCTAATATGACTTCTTGTGGGTGTTTGACGAGAGATGTTCAATAATCATACATTTTGTTCATCCTTGAGCAGACGCGACATGACGTGATTGGCCAACCTTGAAATTACTCTGAATCAGTGTGTCATACTCAGACTTGCAGCAAGATTCCATGTCACTGTGTCAGGGCTGAATTGCTGATTGCGAAATTGAGGTCTCTATTGTGATGACTTCCAGAAGTTAATTTCCTTGAACAAATCGCACTCATTAGTCTCGATAGACAAGCCTAAAGATGTGAATGATAACCGTTCAGTTTCTCTATTTTTCTATCTTTTTATTCCCGGAAATATATTTGGAACAAAAATCCGTTTGGTAAAATTTAACTTTTCTATTTCTGGAACAGAAACCTAAATAACAGCTCTCTTTTATTGCTCGCCCTTGCCACCAACCATCGCCCACCCACCGGCCGTCCGCCGCCGCCCGTTGCCGACCACCGTTGTCCGTCCACCGCCGTCCACCGCCGTCCGCCCTCACCCGCCGCCTGTCAGGAATAGAAATTTAAGAATAACCTATCAAAAGAATTTCTATTTCGAGAAGAGAAATTCTGTGTCGTTATCAAACGTTACTTTTACTTAGAAACTCGTTCAGAGAATAGAAATAGATTTTTCTATTTCTAGTCAGAAATAAGGCTAGGGAAGAGAAATTTTATCATTCGCGCCCTAAAGTAAACACAGACCACACAATCTGTGACAAATCACAACCTTTTTGGGACCTTGTTGGATGTCTCTAAGATCTCTACGATTTCCTACCCGATTAATTTGCACGCTCCTTTTGGATTCATCGCCTTCAATTCTAATGGGCCGATGCAAATCGAATACCCCGGTTGCTGTAAAAGATAGCGAAACTCATGCCATCTT